AAGATTACTTTTTAGCTTCATTCTGGCACGGTTTTCCGTTCTCTAGTATTTTTCGCTTTCTGAGCAATACGGTGTAGACCGTAAAGTTGCCTGCTCTTCCTGATTTCTTCCGATGCGCAATCCGAATATGCATAAAAGTACTGCTTGGAAAGGGGGATTCTCGATTCCAAAGAAGCAGCTAACAAGGGAAAAGTAAGGAAGGAGAATCACTAGCGAAGTGATGAATGGAGCAGAGCTAGGGCTGTTGCACCCCAACGGACAGACAGAAGGCCACCTAGCAGGAAGTGATGGAATGCCAGCAGTAGTGCGATCGAATTTATCGGCAGCTTTATTTGAAATATTGGAAGTGAGAAGGCCGGAGGGGCTGTTGACGACTGCTGAGGTATGTGCTGCTACTGGGATGCCAAATGCTGGTTGGTTGGATAACCAATGTGAAATGAGCCTGGGGTAGACAGGCGATGAAGGAGAAAGCTCGGAGGAATGAACTGCTCGCTGGGATCAAGAATTCTGGCAGCTTTCAGGATTAATTAATCCTCCACGAGCAGCAGCAACAGGCGGAAGAAGCATTCAGCACCAGGTGGAAAGTGCATCATCGATGATTTAAGGGCAGTGTGTTGTTGCATTCTTCCATCCATTCATTCTCTGGAAGCGGCCAACTCCGGAAATAGCAAACAAAATGTTTCACCAGGATAATGTGTATATCTAGAGGAGGGGAAAAGGATTCCAGGAAGATGATGGATCACTGAATTTCCAAAAAGATGAATTGATTCGCGGGGCCCCCGTCGCTCCATTATGCCTTCTGCTTCCTTCAACAAAAAGCATTTTGAGGCAAATGAACAGGCTAAGCGATGTGCCTTCCAGTCTACAACAACAACAAATCCTTTCGAACGTCATTAATCCTTTCTGATATCTGGAGTAGCAGGTTCATAAACTTGTTATTACGCCAGCATAACAAACTCAGTAATTATAGCATAGTGGGAGCAGTGAAGAGGCTAAGTACTCGTGCGAAATGCTTCAGAAAACTACTGAAGAAGTTCGTCGCGAAGTATTTCCGCTCAAATTTGGCTTCATCTTGACTGAAGCATCTCCTTTCCAACTTCATTTATTCTGTTGCTCCGTCCTGGTGAGAAGACGAAT